TTCCTTCTGATCCAGATTTCAAATTAGATCATATTTTTCCTGAAAATGATACAAAACCAGTAGCATTGTTTGTGTCTCTGTGGATTACAGATTATAAAGTACTGTATGCCCTTTACTCAAAGATGTGATTAACAGCATCAGAAGTATTCTCATCATGAATGTTTTCCAGTCTTACAATGTCAAGGTTGATTCTTCATCTACGGTGTAAATGTCATTTAAAAAATGACACTGCTGGTGTAATTTGTCTGTGCCCACATTATCCAATTATGTATTTTTATATCATTTTAATCAGTTTATTGAATACCCAAAAGTGTAAGAAAATATTCTTCAACTAATTGCTTATATCAGGATAATGCCTGGTTTATGAATTCAACATTGAATTTTTTTTAGAGTTCATCTTGCACCTCTTAAAGGAAGTGAGGTTTTTTTTTTCTCTGAAGGGATTGAACTTTAGGAAAGCAAGTGCTATTTTTAGGTTCCTCGTTTTTAGGTTCCTTTTAGTCAACATCCTTGAGTTTATCAGAGCCCCTACAGCCCCCTAGTTCAATATTTCTACATACTGTAGGTCTCCAGCTGCACAACTGTTTGAAAAAGAATGAAAATATGTGCTTGGACCTTTTTACTTTAAATAGTTATTAAGTAAGGTAACTAATTAGTGTCTTAATTATCCACTATCCTGCATAAAGAACATAATAAATTCAAAATGTTACAGGTGATTTATTTTGAGTATTTATCTGATTTAACATCACAGCTTTCAATCTGTGTGTGGACCTCTACAATAGAAAGCAAGACTAATAAGATTGGTATCTGATTACCTTTTTAAAAATGCTTGACTTTCCATAATTTGTCAATCTAATTCAATGTAAAAACTTGTTTCTTTAGGAGTTCTTCTGAAACGAAGAATGAAAAGACATCCACACATGTGGAGAAAAGTTCAAATATGATTGGAATTATGCCAAAAAATCAATGGGTTTAGCATTACAGCTGGCAGCAAACCAATTTTGTTGCACGCAACAAAAGAACTTTAGGAATGTATTCATTGCAACAAATACTAAGCAACAAATAGGCTGAACGAATTGAGTCTTGTACTTTTTGTACTATGCTGTTTTTACTTTTCAGACTGATCCCTTTGACATCATAATATTGTCCACATAATCTGTAATGCCAAGTTCCATTTCTCTAATTTGTAGTAGAATGAGGTTTGTCATTTTGGCTGATTTATTTTGGTTTTCCAACAATTAAAAGAAAATATACTCTTGAATGTTCATGCTTTCAGACTACTGACCACACATATCTGGTCTTCATACACATCACAAATATTTATCAGTCATTTATTCAGCATACAGTATCAAATGTCAAATTTTCAATCCCAAAGGTTTTTCTGAAAACTAAATTTATCTCATTCATCTATTTTAAAACCAGTTTTTCCAATACAGGGTCACGGAGGCTCTAGATCCTATCCAGCTGTTGCAACAAGCACAAGGCAGGATACATCATGGACAAGACACCAGTCCATTGCAGGGCAAACACAGGCACAAACACGCACACGCTCACAGCAGGGACAATATTCTAGGAAGCCAATCAACCTACCAGTATGTTTTTGGACTGTGGGAGGAAACTGGAGAACCCAGAAAAATCCATACAGGCATGGAGAGAACATACAATCCTTTATTTTATTATTACATTTTAAATATTTTTCCCTAGCAGTGGTCTTATAAGAAGTGTGGTTTATCTTATATATTCTTTCTTCTCACCTTCAGATTTCTCTATCACATCCATAAAAAAAAGCCTGTCCCAGAGGCTAAGGTGCAAAGTTGTACTACCAAACTGGCTGGGATTCCAGCTTAATGCAGGATACACATAATGTCAATTTTTTAGAATTTAACTGATATAATGCTTTGAAACCAGAGTTCCGATGCGTCAGAACTAAATGCAACAATGCTAATCCCCCTAACTTCTATATAAAATGTATAGAAAAGTGTTCTTACATGCATCTATTGGATAAGATGATGGAACAGTTTTTCAAGTTTTGATAGCTAATTGTCTAAATGAGCAGATTCATGTTCATTCATCAAGAAATTGGGTGCACTATTCAACAATAGCCCAAAAAATTAAAACGCACATGCGATGAAAATTAAAGTGAAAGCAAATGATATACCCAGTATCTGATCACTGTTCTCTGGTTGCATTCTTGTGACTTTTAATTTAGTGGCATTGAAAATGTAATGATTTATTGTGTAACATATTTGTCAGGTCACTTCCAACAGTATTGAACCCTACATTATCTACCTAAACCATTGTGTCTTTGTAAGTGTGTGGTAAGTGTTATCCATCTTTAAGAGGATGAGTAAAGGTACTGTAACTATAGACTCAGAGCTCCTTGTCCTGTTATGGTTTTAACCCTTCATGTTCCTGGTCTCAGTTCCCTGTTCCTGTTTTTAATAATCTTTGTCTCTGTTGTATCTCCTGGCACCTGGACCTGTGGACTGCGCCTTGATTTCCTTCGGACTTCCTTCTTGATTCGTTTCCCTGAGCTCCCCCCATGCACCGGATCACTGTCTTCACTGAACCCCTGTCCATCATCTTGTCCATTCCTGGCCATGTCTTCCCTTCTCGAGTCACTTCGGGATTATACTGTCCTACATAGGGTCTTTAACTCAGTCAGACAGAATATACAGGCTGAGGGTGAATGCTTATCTATTTCATGTAGTCAATCTAAATGTACCTGTATTTTTTATATATAAGTGTCTTAATCCATTGCACTGGTAATATTAACTTTCCCACACTTGAACAGAAATTGTTAAAAATTAAGCACTCACATTATCTGAGTAGTTAATAAGCAATAAACAAAGAAAATTGTTTTAAAGACTGGTGTACAATGAAAATATAAAGGAACAAGTAAAGGTTTATTCCATTCTGCACATCACATAAAAAAGGCATTAATAAATCCTTATATAGTTCTTCTGTTTTTCACCTACCATAATATACCATTATTATTGTCAAATGTATTTATTAACTGGTACCTATACAGCGACATCAGATTTCTTACTGTAAAGAACTTGCTACCTAGAACAAAGGTTTTAATTTCTCCTGAAGAGAGTGTCTCACTGACTGCCTAAATTATAAAACCACAATTCAAATACTTGTTTCTGGAACAGAAAAGCTTTTCTAAAGAATGACAGTTTTAATGTATCCAAATTTTATGTTATGTATCTTAGCTGATTTTACCTTTAGTTTTAAATGCAACATTTATATTCAAAATACACACTAGATTAGGAAAAAATATATACCACATTTACACCAATTAACTGATTGTTTAAGTTAAATGTTGTTACCTAATCAGTATGAGCTTACACAGAGTAAGCTTACTGGAAACTGCCATGACAGGATCAGCCTGCTGGAAGGGCAGCAAGAGAGGTCCCAGGAGTTTACATCTTGGCATATGTTATCATGCAGCCAGATTGCCATTAATTACTACATGTGAAATTCTGTAGAGAATAGACCCAGACCCACACTTGGACTTCCCCATCAATCTTGGCAATGTGCAGTGACTTTTGGTGACCCATCATTGACAGACTGTATGGCAGTAACAGCTTGGAAGGTTACACATTACTGGCTGTGAACACCCCAAATGGTAAACAACAATATGCTCCGGCCTCCAACATAACAAAATGATAAAGGCACTGTCATCTTGATGAGCAAGGTATATTGGTCCTGCTCTGTTTTTCCTTCTTGACTTTCACTAGTAATGATGCATGTTTATCATGGCTAGCTACGAACGCTCAATTAATCAATACAATGCCAACATTAATAGTATAGTGAAGGATTACATAGTGATCAACACCTGTGGACCTCCTGAAACTAAAAAATATTATTGAATTTATAAATTACTGAACAGCACAGCCTGTTCGTAAGAAAATCTGATCAAGTTCTGAGTAAAAGTCTATGGGGAGTTCTCATATGTTCTTATACTATGAATCTGTATTTTCAGCTACTTTTCTACAAAAATTAAAAACAGAAACAAACTGATTACAAGCCCAAAACGTACAGTCAATTGTCCAATTTCACATCTGATATCAAGTTTCATATATAGATTTTGGATTGGATGAGTTTGGATTGGAAAGTATTTTTTAATACTTGGGTCATGCCACTATCTTTGTTGATACAGAATCTAAAATTAGTAAAAAAGGTAATTATATGTTTTATCTGTTCCGATGGACAGTATCTGATCTTCAAACACAGGATGATTCAAAAGTGGGAAGTTTACATCCCTTGCTTTCTTAGGCTTTCAGATACAGTAGTGAAATCACCAGCTCACTAATGGGTTTCATTATTTTAAAGCCAAATAGAGCAAGCAAAGCAGGAAGTTACTAAATCCTAACAGATATACTATTGTATTTACAGTACCTGCAAATTAGTGGCACAGACAAATTTCAACTATAGAAATTGAAAAAATAACTTTACAAAAAACAAGTTACCTTTCTGAACAGAATTAATTGAAGTAAAATAAGTTTATTTGGTCTTAAATAAATAAAGGAAGATGGAGAGGAGTTCAAAAGGCAAAATTAAAATAATGACCAGATGCTTATTTTCTCTAAAACACGTCTTGCTTCCCTTTTCAAGCATTAGCTCTTCCTTCATCCCTCTCCATTTTCTTAAGCACAGCTCATCCACTCCAAATTGCCTTCCAGCTGGATGACTCACATGCTGTTCAGGATCACCTCCTTCTTTAATGCAAAAGTGACTTCTTGCTCATTTTGAATAATTGCAAATGAATATACAGCAAATGTTTATCACTGGATTGCAACAACACTCCAGAACCAAGCAAAATGGGGGAAAAACACTGTTCAATGCCGTTCAGAACTTTGGTGGTAAATAAGTCAACAACCAGATTAACTCTTCCGATTTTTTTTACTTGTATTCTAATATAAACCGCAGGCCAAATGTACAACCATGAAATTTGTTGTACCATGTAAATAAAAATGCTTATATTTGAGTAATTATGGTACCGCCTTTATTCTTGGTGACTGCTTGTTAAAAATATGTCTGGTTTGTGAGGTGTCTATTAGTTGGAATACATTACATTTGCAAAATTGTCAAGAAGCGTTTTTCAGGATCCTATGAAGACAACAGAATCCAGAAAGGAGTTAAAAAAACATGGGGAGAGAAGACTAGGAACGGCGCTGGTAGACAAACAGGGAGGCGTGTCGATGGTGCGCTGGTGCTGGGGGGGCGTGGCCAAGGCAAACAAATCCAAGGGGAGTCAGTAGGGTAATCCAGGGAGCTGAAGTCCAGAGCCGGGTAATCCATCCTTGACAGACATGATGAAGGTTAAAAGCCGGAGCGGGATCCGGTGAAGGGTCTGGTAAATAAAAAGTGGTAACGGGGCCAGGCGCTCCAAGACCCAGACCCAGACCGTCAGGACACCATTGCGAAGCCTATGCCGTCAAGCTACTCCTGGACTCGCAGGTAGGTGGGTTTCCAAAGCTGAGCCTGAAATGGTAGGAGCATCTGGCTTTTGTAGGGAGGGGCTGGATCCGGAGGCAGGTGCAAATAATCAGGACAAACTTGGAAGAGCCGGAGCATCCTTTAGAGGAGGGGCTTCTGATCGTGACAAAAATTAAGTACAGGATGAAATGTAAATATAGTCTAAATAGTGGTTCTATTTCTGTGAAAACTGAATGTATCTGAGAACTAACATTTATTACACTGATTGCCAAAACAGCTACAGTATTCTGAAACACTTTATGCCTCTGTTGTATGAGACATTTTTCTTATAGTAATTAGTAAATTACTATATATATAGTATACTATAAAAATAGTAATTAATCAGTAAATACATATACAAGGTGTTTTACTTCTTTTGTAAAAACTCATTAGTTTTAATAATGGTTAACTACCTCAAACTAATGCTCCATGCCAGTTTATTAAATACTGAAATTTCTTCTTAGGTACATGGTGTTTCACACTATTCCTGATATGAGTTAGAAATTGAGAGTCCGAATATGAACAAATGGACACAGACTTACTGTATGTCTTAGTTGTAATTATCTTATTTGGAAAATATTCCAATTTTCCATTAGTCTTTAGGGTTGTATAAAAGTGCTTCTGACAAACAATTATTTAGTCCTTATCCCAGATAGGGACAGATATGTACTGTACAATTTGCGTCCGCTCTGTGTTCATTTAGGTTTTCTCTTGGTGCTCTGATTTCCTCTCACCTACAGTACTGTACCCAAAACATGCTGATTAGTTTAGTTGGTGTTTCTTATTTGACCCTCTTCCCATGTGTACTGTATGTGTTTTACTTTGCTCCCTAGTTTTTTATGGTAGGCGCTGGGTTGTTGTGACCTTAACCAGGAATAGGTGACTTTCTGGATGAATGGATGGAATTTTCCCTGTCAGCATAAATTAACCTATCAACTATTTAATGGCTGCAACATGTACTGTATTATTCAGCCTTAATGTTTTGGAGCATAATTAAGGTTGACGTGCTCCTTAAATCTCATCTCTCACCCATAAATATAGGACAGGGTTGTAAACTCAGTCTTGTCAACATTTGCATTGTTTCAAAAATAATTTTGTTTAATAATTTCTTCAATTCCCTGACCTAAAAGAAGATTGCTTATCAATTATGTGCAATAGGAATTTTGCATTCCAGGTTCTTCAGTTGAAACAATCTGTGTGGCTGATTTCCCAAGTAGATGTCTGCAGTTGGGAACAAATAAAATTAAGAATCTGTTTCTGAGGTACGTTGGGTGCAAATATAAAAGTGAAGCTGAGCACTCTATATTTGTATTTTATGTTTTCATGTTAAAACCAGCCTTATCATTGATATACAGTACTGCATATTCAAACAAATCATGAGGATAAGAGAAGGAGTTATGTTAGAAAACATCTAGGGTCATTGAAACTTCAGGGATGGTTCTATGAACCAATGAAAAAAGGATATCTGGTGTTATGGAGAAACTGATTTACTGGAACTAACCTTATAAAAGTGCTCTGACAGTCTTGAAATATTTTTCATACATACAATTACAGAAATTCTATATGTAAGAGAATGCATTCAATACAGCTGCACAACAGATTAGTATGCCACATATGCAGCTTTAAAGTAACATACATTTTATTGATAAAACAGATAAAGGGTAAAAACATATACGCAAGCAATTATTTTCAGAAATTATGCCATCACTAAACCCTTGATGTTCACAATGGTCTAGACAAAGTTACGTGGCGGCAGTGAAAGATGTGTTGAGAAACTTTAAGGAGTCACTTTTTTCTGCACTCCTTATTAAAAGTCATATATCACTGAAGCTTAAAAGTGCTGGCCACAAATCAAGAATTGAACAGAGCAGAAATTTATTTAATGCTCATTCTTGGGTGTACAATATGTACAAAGCAAAATAGCTTCTCACAGTCTCTCAGCAGTCACAGCCAATGATGCAATGGTCCAATGCTCTCTCACACAATGGTAGGAACCTGGTACTGGCTAAAATAATTACTCCATCCATGGCAGCAGACACTTTACACAGAGCTGGAACACCCAGACCTGGGAAACAAAAGGACTGGACAGGGGCACACATGCAGAACAACAACTACTAGAATAAC